TTGGAAGTCGCAAACGTGTTTGTTGGAAGTGCCCTTGTGGATATGTATGTAAAGTTTGGTAAAACGAGGGAGGCAAAGTTAGTATTGGACCGCGTAGAGGAGAAAGACGTGGTTTTGATCACAGCTTTGATAGTTGGTTACTCGCAGAAGGGTGAGGATACTGAAGCTGTGAAGGCATTTCAAAGTATGTTGGGGGAGAAAGTTCAGCCTAACGAGTATACTTTTGCAAGTGTATTGATATCTTGTGGAAACTTAAAGGATATAGGGAATGGCAAGTTGATTCATGGACTTATTATTAAGTCTGGTTTTGAGTCTGTTCTTGCTTCACAAACTTCTCTTCTTACAATGTACTTGAGGTGCAGTTTAGTCGATGATTCCTTGCGGGTTTTCAAGTGTATTGAGTACCCAAATCAGGTGACTTGGACGTCTCTTATATCGGGGCTTGTCCAAAACGGTAGAGAAGAAATGGCCCTAAGCGTATTTAGAAATATGATGCGTGATTCAATCAAGCCTAACTCTTTTACATTGTCAAGTGCTCTCAGGGGGTGTTCTAATCTCGCAATGTTTGAAGAAGGCAGACAGATTCATAGTATAGTGAGTAAATATGGTTTTGATAAAGATAAGTATGCCGGATCAGGGCTCATTGATCTATATGGGAAATGTGGATGTTCAGACATGGCAAGGTTGGTTTTTGATACCTTGAGCGAAGTTGATATTATATCTTTGAACACAATGATTTATAGTTATGCACAGAACGGTTTTGGGCACGAAGCAATTGAGTTGTTTGAGAGAATGATACATCTTGGACTGCGACCGAATGATGTAACAGTCTTGAGTGTACTCTTGGCTTGTAATAACTCTGGATTAGTTGAGGAAGGTTGTGCATTTTTCGACTCCTTCAGAAAAGATAAGATCATGCTGACGAATGATCATTACGCTTGTATGGTAGATATGTTAGGACGGGCAGGGAGATTAGAGGAGGCTGAAATGTTAATAACCGAGGTAATAAACCCTGACTTGGTTCTGTGGAGGACTTTGCTGAGCGCCTGTAAGATTCATAGAAAGGTAGAACTGGCAGAACATATAACAAGAAAGGTCCTTGAAATAGCACCTGGAGATGAAGGAACTCTCATTCTAATGTCAAATCTATACGCATCCACGGGGAAGTGGAACAAAGTGATTGAGATGAAGAGCGTGATGAAGGAGATGAGGCTGAAGAAGAATCCAGCCATGAGTTGGGTTGAAGTCGATAGAGAGACACATACATTCATGGCTGGGGATTTGTTTTTGCATCCAAACTCGAAGGAGATTCTTGAAACTCTTGAAGATCTAATCAGGATGGCTAAAGATTTGGGATATGTTGAAGACAAAAGCTGTGTGTTTCAAGACATGGAGGAGACGGCAAAAGAGAGAGCTTTGCATCAACATAGCGAGAAACTGGCCATAGCTTTTTCCGTTTGGAGAAATGTTGGTGGAAATATCAGGATTCTAAAGAACCTTAGAGTCTGTGTTGATTGTCACAGTTGGATCAAGATCGTATCAAGAGTTATCAACAGAGAAATTATCTGTAGAGATTCAAAGAGGTTTCATCATTTCAGAGATGGGTCTTGTTCGTGTGGAGATTATTGGTAAAAGTACGGGTTTGTATTGGGCCGAAGCCCATTTCATTTAAACTGTGAAATAAATATAAGCCCAATGTTTTCGTATTATTGGTTCATTTCATTTAAACTGTGAAATAAATATAAGCCCAATGTTTTCGTATTATATTGGTTGTAGTAATTCTGTAGATAGATGTTATGACAATGTTATTACTTTAACAAAAGCAGAAAAGAATCAGTAAAAAAAATAGAAAAATAAAATGTGGAAAACGTAATTTTATGGTCAATTAAAAAAATTGAAATGGAAAAAGATTCCTAGTTTAAAATGATGATTTGTTGGACATTACTTTTTAAGAAATTGAAACTTGAAATAAAAGTCGAATTTTAAATAAATTTATATATAAATTGTGAAGCTAACATTTTTGGAATTGTTTGTGTTGCTTGTACAAAACTCCAAATAAAATTACAATATAATTTAAAAAAGAGTATCAGTTACCAAGAAGAAAAGGCAACTGATGAAGTGATAGAGAACATGTAACTCGTTTTCTCTGTTTAGAAGTTTTCATCTTTTATTTTTTGTTCATCATGACAAAGAAGACGTTATTGTGTGATGATGAGGCTATATATGACAAATTTCGCATTGGTGTTTGGTTCGACGGCCAAATGTACAAAAGCTTGATTCTAAAGAAAAGCAAAAGAGAGTTGTAAATTAGCTTTGATTCTTCCGTTTTGTTTACTCATCGTTTGAAATAACAATAATAATGTAACCTTTTCCACCTTTCTTTCCTATCTAGCCAAGTGGACTGAGTTACTATGTTAACTCACGTTAGTTCAAAACTTCACATACATGATACATTCATGCATGAGTGCGCATAGATACATGTAGTGTTTAAATGTTTAGAAAGGCCTCAGAAATCAGAATAGCATAAAATATATAAGTTTTGTATACTAGATTTAAGTAATACAAACCCATGAAATTAATTTTGATATAAATCATGAATATATGAAATTGGTAAGTTGTGTATCATCTCATCCATTAGAGGTATGTATATGTATCTTATATTTATCTTATGCTAACTCAAACCTGACACGTAAAATAGTTAAAAAAATCATGCTAACATATGTATTCTCAACTTAATTTTTGTGTTATATTTGTAATAATTGATATAATATATATATATATATATATACATTATATATGTCAAAAAAACTAACTGTACAGTACAATGGTTTATGTATATGAATTTAACATTGTTAAGGCATATTTAGTATCAGTATACGAATGTATGGTAAAACTTGAAATTGTTGAATTTAATTAGGGCATATATATGTAATATGTTAACAATCTCAATGTGAAGGATGAAATAACAATATAAAGGCGATGGGTGATACATTGGTAACATAATAAATAATATACAACTATGCTGACTATCTCTCCTTCAATCACGAGTCCTAAATCGTGAGTTTCATCGCAATTGGTTTAGACTGTTGTGGCAAAGCCGTGAATTATAACGACATATTAAATCTATTCATATTGTATGCTATACAAAAGCAGTTACAACATCACTTATATTCACATTCATCATGCTCCTTCGCCATCCGTTTCATTAATTAAATCATCAAAATATTTTTCTAGCTTTTTTATTTATTTTGTTTTATTACATTACACTTTCTTAAGTCATTTATTTGAAATCAATATAGCATCCAACTTTAGCTTTTAATTTTTCTAGATTTATGTTCATGGTCGTCGACCAAAAGCAGGAAAAGGTTAGTTCTTGATCTTTTCATTATACTTTTTAAGGATGATTAAAAAGATGTGTCAAAGAGAAGAAACAAAAAGTTCATATATCTCGAAAGATAATGCTCTCAAGACGAAAATATCGTATAAAGCAAAAGCCCTATACAAATAGTGAGTCTTAAAAAAGTTTGAAAGGATATTGTAGTATGCAAAAGTGCCAACATTGGCTTTTAAGAGATCGAAAACTTTGTTAAAAAGAAAGTGATCGGAACCTATAAAAAAAAGTCATTCTTATAGATGCGTGTGCAGGGGCGGACCCAGAAAAAAAAAAAAATGGGTGCAAAATGAACTAAAGGAGGTTCGAACCCATGACTTCAAATATTTACTGGGGACATGTTAACCATTTTGCCACATGAAACTTTATTTGTATAGTAAAAAATTTTGTTTTTAATAAGTTGCTGGGTGCATGTGCCCCCACTAACATGTATGTGGGTCCGCCCAGCGTGTGTATATGTTTGATCACCTCTTTAGATATTGAAAGCAAACATAGTCCTGTAAAAAAATTATTGTTTACCAATATTTTAGTTTATATAGTTCTTTCTAAACATAGCTTTCTAACTTTTGTACCATTTGTTGAGTAATGAACGTAACAGTCGCATTTGTTGAGTAATGAACGTAACAGTCGCATGCATGGCTAAATAAACAGCAGAAACAAGTTAAAAACTCAACAGATTATTATTCTTTGGTATTTACAAATTATTATTCTTCTAGAACTCACAAACTGACAAAAGTCAATTACATGTGTTTTTTTCTTCCTCTTTTATATATAGAGAATATAATATATATAGTCGTCCAAAATTAATTTGTAGACCCCATTATCAAAGACAAACACAAAAATCCCAAAATCAAATTAAGCGTTAGAAATAAAACGAGACTCGTTATCAACATTCTACAGTTGTTCTGCACGTATCGAAATACTCTAGTGTTGAAGAAACTTCAGTGTTGTGAATACCTATTGAAAGAACTAAGTTCAAGTAGTCTGTTCTCACATGCCTGCCTACTTGTGCATTATATATGTAGTTCTTGCAGACCTTTGCTCTAGAGATCAGTGATAAGATGTACATAGTACGTATGCGTGTTCAGATGCATTTATATATATGTAGAGAGGAAGAGAAGCTAAGGATGGGGCTAACGAGAGACTGCAAAAGAAGGCTAAGGCCTGATCTCTATGTTTCACAGAGACTCGACATAGTTCAGTGTCGCCTAAGATCCTATATGCTTAATTAGACCACACTTCAGTACTGACACGTTTTTAATGTTACATCTATCTGTATATATTTTTCATTTTTACCGCACAAATATCGATGTTCTAACGAATATCTATTACACAGCTAGCTAGCTAGAGTTTTTCTTTTTTTTACTTGTGTTATGACATATGATGTGGATGGTCAATTATTCTGCTTGGCTCAATGTCTGTAATCTGTAAAATTTGAGCTCAGTTCAGACCAAAAAATTCAAGTCGACTTATTCAGAAGGTACTATATATGACCAATCCCAAGGAGACATTATCTCTTTAGTGAAAATGGCTTCTTAAAAACAAAACAAAATTTACAATTATCCTTGGGATATAATTAACAAATATCCAATAAGTCATTAAGTGAACATTTCACCACCAAACCAATGGCTTTTCAATAATTAAACACAGTAAAAACTCTGTTCCAACTTTACAATTATTTAAGATACAGACAAATCATCTATACGGAGAATCTATTAATATATAATGTAATTAAATATCTCTCTCCATCCTTGAATTAATTTAGCCCCCAATTTTGTTTACAAATTTGAACTTAAAGTACTAAAATAGTAACCACCAACAACAACAACAGAAGCTGTCTACAAGAACACCAGAAGAAAAAAAGACTACAGCCATAAATAGTTTTGGCATTACATCACTTAATTAACACACTTAACAAATATAAATATATATGAAATTATATATATATAGTTTAATTCTTGGACTTACCAAGAATCAAGGCAAAGCATTATAATGGTTAAGATCAGTCCAAGCTTGAATTCCATTGTTGTTCCATTCACTTCCTCCTCCTGTATTACCATTATTACTAATCACCCCTTCGTTATCACTATTATTACCAAAATACCACTCTGTCTGGTTATCTCCTTTCTTCGTCGGAGACGACGGCGATGACGAGTTCACGATCTCGAGATTCCGGTAAAGAATAGGTTGCGGCCTCTCGACGACAACAGTTTCTTCCTTGGAATTACCAAAAAGCATGGCCATCCTCTGTTGCTGAAGCCTCCAGTGTAAATCTTGGTTCAGACAGCTCAACGTTTCTATCGAAGAAGCTAAGTTCCCGTCGTTAGCTCCGGCGGTCGTGAAAGCCGTGGGTGAATGGTTGTTGTTGTAATCTCCAAAACCCATCAAGGATAAACCCGACCCGACATCGACAGGTGTGTTTTCCCGACCGGATGAGATCATGGGCCTAAGATCAAGAACTTCTTGGTTGTTCAAAAGCTGAAGATCGTTGATCTTGTTGAGAGATAAACCTGCGAGCTGGAAATCCATGGTCGTCGGAGGAGGGAAGAATTTGGAAGAGTCGTCCATGATCGAAGAGAAGAACCTCTGAGAAGATGAAGAAGAGGAAGGGAGTGCGTTCATGGAGGAACTAGGTTTGATGGATTTTTTGGTTTTCCGGCAACCACCACCGATGGGGACGTTTCTCAAAGCACCGCCACGAGTCCAGTAACGGCGACAAGATTTGCAGAAGTGACGAGGTTGGGAGAGACTGTAGTTGTTGTAGTAACAGAACTTGGTGTTTGGGGAGTTGCAACGGGGACATTTTAGGGTTTGTTGGTCTTGAGCCACGGAGGAAGACGGTTGTTTCTTGGTTTGGGATGTACCCGCGGAGATGCGGTGATCCGGTTTAGGAACCGGTTTGGGAGAGGGGAGATTGGTATGGGAGGACATGATGATGATGATGGGGGCCGGGAGGAGAGCAAAAATGAAGGAAGAAGAAAGGCTTTGGGTCCTTTCCTTTTTTCGATTTCTTGCTTTGAATGTAAATAAGAATAGTTGGAGAAGAGAGAGAGAGACCTAGTCGGTAAAAGGGTTTCGTATGTTCTTTATACTTATTTTTATTTATTAAAAAAAAAAATATATATATATATATACTGTCGGGTTTATGTTTTAAAAGTTTGTTTCGCATTATACAGTAAAACTTTTATAAATTAATACTCGATAAATTAATAATCTTTATAAATTAATAAATTTTTCCGGTCCCAACTTGGAACTAGTCTAATTTTAGACATATTTAGATAAAATAATAAGATAATAAATATTTTGAAAATCATTTGTAAATATATGGTCCCATCAATATTATAAATTAATAATTAGGTAAAATTTTCAATATATATATATATAGACACATTAGTTTTTGTTAGATTTTATTTCTAATATTTTACTATATGAAAAATAGTTAGCATTCTCTTCTAATACATAATAATTATTGTTTTATTTGTAATTGATTATATAAAATATTAATTATCATGATTAAATCTTATTTTTAAATATTGTTTCGAAAATATTTTTGAAATTAGGAATATCTCTCTATAAATTAATAATTTATCGATAAATTAATACCTTTATAAATTAATAGATTTTCATGATCCCAACATTATTAATTTATAGAGATTTTACTGTATAATTAGTATAAACCATTAACACATTGTATATAATAGTTTTTCATATTTTTGAGAGAATACAAATATTATTTTTTGTGTTGTACACACTCTCTGATATTCGTATTCTCGTTGCTCCACACAGTTACATAATTGAAGAATCGTAAACCGCCACTTTTATCAAAACTGTTGATTAAAAATTCTTCATAAAATCTCATTGTAGTAAATGTACAATGTACTTATATAAATATATATATATAGAGAGAGAGAGAGGCATGAGTAAGAGAGATAATAGAGACAAAAAAAGGAAGATGAGAGAAAGAGAGAGAGAGATGAAGTGGCAGAAAAGACAGAAGAAGAACATATAAAACTGTGCAATTGATCGGAACAAATCGGATAGAATTTGTTATGTTGTGTCTTGTTTCTATTGTTGAGGTAACGTTTTTTCTATGTGTCAAGTATGCACTGCACCATCTTTTTACGTTTTAAAGCAACATCTATATATATTTTATATTACAATTACATTACATTACATATTTCGTGTTTATTAATATATACAATAATCAGAAATAATGTTTTCTTCCTTTACATACAACTATATATATAACAACCGTATGCAACTCTATTAAGGAAACAAAAACTATTGGAAGGAACAAAACATATATATATAGTTTTTCTGAATTCACTTGTAGATTATTGGCGTTTGCATAAGAATCGAGTTAATGGATAAGTATGAATATGTATTATATTGCAGACGTAGTTCAATGTGCATATATATACTAGTTGAAAGTTTTGGATTTTATACGAGTACATCCCAAATATTGAAAATACTGAGGAACTTTTTCTAAGTTATACCATGTTTAAGGAAGTTAATTACTCTTGAGATTTACAAATCTTTGTAATATATAGAGAGCCTAGAAGTAAGGTTTAGGAAGAGAAAGTAACGTTAGATTAACAATCTAACATCTTTTTTTTTTTTTGTTGAAATTGCTAATACACATGATTATATTCTGAGTTATAGCTAAAAGTAATTGACATTTGTTGAAAGTGAACTACCATCATAATCAGATTCAAATTGGAGTTATAACTTATAAGATATATACATATATATATATATATGTGGCGCAATACAGACAAGTGTATGCATAGATGAATGTAATAAATCCAAAAATAGAAAAGGGTCGGAGGAGATTGTGTTTCGATGATTGATATATAAAACGTCTACATCTGTGAAGAAACACGAGAGAACGGAGAAGACAAAATGGGAAACATGTGAGAGCCCTTCTGAGAGAATGGATCTCTCGTGAGACTAAACCGATCATCCCACATATATACGTACAACTTACACCGATTTGTTTCCTTTTAATCTTTAATAATCTTTGAGGCATGCAAATTTTATATTCATTCTCTTGAGGTAATCAATATATAGTTTAAAGTAAATATAAAACTAGCAATTTTTACAACTGAAATTTGACAGCTGAAAAATCCAACAATACAATAACTATGTAAATTTATTACGGTGTTTAAAATTATTTTTGTTATATTTATTTTGGATAGGTTAAAAAAAGCGAGAAAGAGACATGACAAGAAAATTACTTAAGGTAAAAGACGCAGTTTCATCAAAGATATATATCAATTGGTCAAATGTGTTACATCGTTATCAAATCGTCGTAGAAGCATATCACCTGATCTACGTGCTGTTCCCATTTATTCCAGCCGTAATTTGCCTGTTTTTTTTTAATTTACAAACGTAAAAAAAAAATGAAAAAAAACTTTACACTTATATGAGTTCGTTCGTTCGAGAGTCGAGACTAAATAATTTAATTTACGCGGATATATAATCAGGGAAACATGTGAGCGAGGCTAATCACGAGAAATGGAAAGACAGAACTGAGGACTGCTTAATCCGTAGAGACCCATTAGTATTATATTGGGCCTTGTTTTAGAAATAGAACAAAGCTCACGTTAGCATCCAGCTGGTTAATGGGTCTAAGGGAAAAGACAGTAACGTTCTGGGCCGTCGCTATTCCAACCATTAATAACCTTCCACGTGTCATAATTGGGCCTTTTTAGCGCCAAAAAAGACTACAGTAACTGTCAAATTTTATATAACAATAAAATTTACATTTTCTCTGCAGTCTGCACTATAATTTATTAATTTTGTTCAAACCGGACTTACTTAGCTTTCGTTTTGCGACTTTGCGTTGATATTTTGTGATTTATAAACTTCTTTTTTCTTTCACATGTGAAAAACGCATAAATTGGTCTCCTTGAATCATTCAAAGCCAAAAACATTTGATATTTTCATTATGCATATGTTTACACTTTATTATTGAAAAAAAAAACATATTGAATTATATTCTTTGTGGAATATGGCTTCATCATCTAATATAAAACTAAAAAGAAGGAAGACACTGAACTATTTAAACTATTCTCGTCTTCAAGATTTACAAAACTTTAGCAGTTTAACAACATGCAAATAAGATTATAAATGATTACACAAAGAATAGCATCATGGACAAATAATAATACATAGAGATGGCAAAAACAGAGCAAAAGAAGAGAGATTCTCTAATCTTCAGCAAACTAACGACCATACTCAATGCTCGAGAACGTTACCGAAACTCCACTTGAGCTAATCGTGGGAGAAGAAGAAGAAGTTGAGTTGTAATACATAGCAGCAGGCCTCTTCAATGGCAGATCAGGCAATGGTGACTCATAATTCAAGACTTGGATCGCTTGTTTTATCGAAGGTCTCGAGTTTTTATCAGGATGAGCGCACCATAGCCCTAATACCAAAAGACATCCAGCTTCGTTAGTATCAAAATCCTTACCTAATCTCTCATCTACGCATGAAGGCATCAGTTCTTGTTTTCCATAAAGTTCCCAAACTCTCTCCAGAAGACTGATCTCATCACTTTCACTATCACTGTTATCTTCTTGTTTCCGTTCCAGCGATTTTCTCCCTGTGACAATCTCTAGTAAAACAATTCCAAAGCTGTACATATCTGATTCTTTACTTGCACTTCCTTTCATCACATATTCAGGTGCCATGTATCCAAAAGTTCCAGCCAGTCCTGTTCTGTGGGAACCGGAATCATGGTTCACAAGCCTAGCCAACCCGAAATCGCCTAACTTTACATTGAAATCACTATCCAGCATTATATTGCTTGCCTTGATGTCTCTGTGCAGTACACATTGATCCCATTCTTCATGAAGATAAAGCAAAGCAGAGGCTAGACCTAGAGCTATCTTGTACCTTATGTCCCAAGGGAGTATATGAGGTCTTTTACCAAAGAGGTGAGAGTTCAAGCTACCATTTGACACTAACTCATAGATCAGCAAAAACTCGTTTTTTTCATTACACCAACCGATGAGCTGCACGAGGTTTCGATGTCTCAGTTTGCTGATGATCTTAACTTCGTTTAAAAACTCGTTCACTCCTTGCCTTGAACCACTGGACAGCTTTTTCACCGCAACCATTGTATTGATTTTTTTCATGTTTCCTTCATAAACCGCTCCAAAGCCTCCTTCACCCAGCTTTCTATGGCTTGAGAATCCGTTGGTTGCTGACACAAGATCCTTATAAGAAAACTTTCTTGGTCCTGCTTCCCTTTCGAGGTCTTCATTTATTGACATCATGTTGGCTGTATCCCTTTCTTTCTTCTTTTTTAGGTTCCGTGACCAAACCGCAGCGGTTGTGATGATCATAAAGGTCAGGAGAACAAACCCGGAAACCGAAATGCCAAGTATGATTCCTATCTTGCTATCAGCTTGCTCGCTATCCAAAGTTGAACTGAGCTCCCATGATAAGAGTCTATATGCCTCTGTGCTTGTCACAGAAGCAGCTATAAACCCGAGCATAACTTCCGATGGCAGAACCTTTGCGAGGTCGATGATGTAAGAAAGGCTTGAACTCTCCTTAAGATCAGAGGTTATTAGCTCATAAGCCCAAGTCACACTTAAATTCTTAGTCACAGAATCGTAAGAGATCTTTGCATGAGCAATATCCTGGCTGTGTGAGCTTGCATTCCAAGAGGTGTAGTTGGAAGAAACAAGCGAGTTGTTATTGATCCCCACATGAGATCCAATATCCGTAGGATCCCATCCTGGATTGTTGAATGTGTCAAATTCGACATGAACGAGTGGAAACGAAGACGAGTAATTATTCTTGCGAGTGAACAAGTTCAAGAAACCACCAACTGAGTATGCAGGTAGTTGAGCTCCCATAGGAGCGAAAAAGAAACAGAGCCCATGACCATCTGCTGAAAGGTTACGAGCGTCTACTTTGAAGGAGAAACTGGTGTTAAAATTTGAAGCCTCACCAGTTCTATGACTCCATATAGGTACCTTTTCGGAATAAGTAATCCAACCAACCTGAGAGGTTTGGTCAGCATTGTTGAAGTTCACCGTTCCATCTTCATCCGGGGTTGCATCCCCGTTGTAAGCTATGTTCTCGGGATCACCTGGCCGGAAAGTAGTAAAATTGAAGTAAAGTGAATCAACAACAAAAGGAAGGAGGAGGACAAAGAGGAAGAACGAGAATGAATTCATGAACATGGGGTAAAGATATTACACAAAGAATAATAAAGGAGAAGATTGGTTGATGATGATCTAGGAGTAAGGATTTGATAGAATAAAAAGAAAGCAAAGACAAAATGATGATGATCTAGGAGTTAAGATCATGAAGTCACATAAAATATAACTGTACAATTCAAGAAGTAGAGAGTGGTCAAGAAAAGAAGCTTATTCATTCAAGAAAATCACTATCACTAAACTTTCTTTTGAACTTTCTTCTAATAAAAAAAAGTCAAATCAAGGCTTAAGTTTGACATAGTTCTACGTTTTAACTATGCGGAACATTACATCCTCTAGATAGCCGTTAAAGACTCTTGAATGCACCTAAATACTTTGCAATCATGAACCTTAAAAGAGTTGTAACGTTACACGTATCAATCTTGAAAATGAACCTGGTGGTGGAGTGGACCTCACTGGACCCCGTTTTAGCAACTTTATGAGAGCAGCCGAACCAAAACAACACGACAATGTCGACTAGTATAAGCAACACTGTTCTATTCAATGCCAAGTAAATAAAAGATGTTAAATAGAAGTGAGCCACCAAAAAGGAAAAACAAAATATAATTTTGTTTAAGCTAAGAAGGTTTAAACAACTGCTAAACAAGATTTGGCAAACTTTACAACAAAGAAACAGAGTAAAACAGAGTAAATTAACAACAGTTGAGTACGAGAAACCAAATTTTGACAGTAAATAAAACGTGTAAAGAAAGAAGAAAAAGCAATTTTTAATTTAACAAGGTAAGCAAAGAACGACAACGAAGCAAAGAGATTAAAGATAATCCAAAATAAACAAGAAGAGATAAATAAGACAAAATATGAAACATAGATAAAGGATACAAAAGCATATATAATCATGTGATGATCTCGATTTGTTTATAGGAACAAACTTTGAGGTTTGGATCAACGACCAAGTTGAGCACTAGAAAATGTTGCTGTTGCTACTCCACCTGAGCTTGATGATGATGATGACACATGATATGTGGCAACTGGCATTTTAGGAGGCAGATTAGGCAATGGTGCTTGGAAATTCAATACTTGGATTGCTTGCTTTATCGAAGGCCTAGAGTTTATATCAGGGTGAGCACACCATAACCCCACAACCATAAGGCACTCTGCTTGCTTCATATCATAATCTTTCCCCATTTGATGATCAATGGCTGAGACAAGCTCTCCTCTTCCGTTCAGATCCCATACCCTCTCTACAAGACTTGCTTCAGGCTCAATTTTTCCTTGTCTAGGATCCACGGATTTCTTTCCTGTGACAATCTCTAATAAAACAACTCCAAAGCTATAGACGTCAGATTCTTTGCTCGCTCTTCCGGTACTAATGTATTCAGGAGCCATGTAACCAAAAGTTCCAGCCAATCCTGTAGTCTGGGGACCTAGCTCGTGGTCCATCAACCGAGCCAACCCAAAGTCACCTAGCTTGGCATTGAAATTGGAGTCTAACATTATATTACTCGTCTTGATGTCCCTGTGGACAATGCATTGCTCCCACTCTTCGTGAAGGTAAAGCAAAGCAGAGGCTACACCGAGAGATATCTTGCACCTAACAGTCCAAGCGAGATGAGATTTTTTACCAAATAGGTGCGAGTCAAGGCTACCATTTGGCATGAACTCATACACCAGTAGAAGATCTTTTTTCTCATGACACCAACCAATGAGTTGAACAAGGTTTCTATGTCTTAAACTGCTGATGATCTTAACCTCGGTGATGAACTCTCTCTTTCCTTGCTTAGAAGCACCTGAAAACCTCTTCACAGCAACCATCATATCCAACTCATTCAAGTATCCTTTATAAACTGCTCCAAACCCTCCTTCACCCAACTTTCTGTCATTTACGAAGTTGTTTGTAGCCGATGCAAGATCTTAATAAAAGAAACTCCTTGGCCCTGCTCCTCTTTCAAGATCTTCCTTTATCGATGTCAAGTTTTCAGTCTTCCCTGCTTCATCCTTTCTTTGCTTCTGCTTCCAACAAAATGCAACCGCAACAACAAAAGAGGTTAACAAGAAAACCCCAGAAACAGAAACACCAACAATTATTCCTGTCCTGTTTGGAGTTCTCCCTCCAGCTTCTGGTATATCCAAGGTTGAATTGAACTCCCATGACAAGATCCTATGTCCTTCCATGTTTGCTCCTGTAGAACCTGAAAATCCAATAGTAACTTCTGCAGGAAGCACCTTCGCAAGGTCAATGATGTAGAAAAGACTAGAACCCTCCCGAGGATTAGTTGTTTCTACGTAAGTCCAAGAGATGCTCAAGTTTTTTGAAGCAGAATCATATGATATCCGTGCATGACCTACATCTTGACTGTGCAAACTTGTATTCCAAGAAGTGAAGTTAGAGGAAGTAAGCGAGTTATTGTTGATCCCAACATGAGACTTGATATCAACAGGATCCCATTGTATATTATGAAACGTATCGAATTCGATATGCACAAGCGGGAACCGAGATGAGTAACCGTTGGTTTCATTGAAAAGACCCAAGAAACCACCAGCTGAGTTGGGAGGCACAACTATGCCTGCAGGGGCAAGAAAGAAAGCGAACCCATGGCCATAATCTGAAACGTTACGCGTATCGATCTTGAAGGTGAAACTGGTCGTGAAATCAGTTGGCCTCTCTGTTTTAGGATCCCATATAGCAACTTTTTTAGCATAAGTAGCCCACCCAACACGGCAAGTGTAATCAAGACTGTTCAATTCAATCGCGCCATTTGGTGTTGCATCTCCTTGGTAAGCTATATTAGGATCACCTGGTAGAAAACTAGAGATGTTAAAGTGAAGTGAGCGAACAAAAGCGAGAGGAAGAAGGAAAGAGAAGAAGAATAAGATTGAGTTTTTCATTTTGAAGGTAAAAGCTAAGCATGTCTAATCTCGTTATGCATTACTTATCATGTTACTATTTGAAGATTTGGGACCATCATCAAGTCAACAACAAAACTGATATTGTAAAAAAATAAAGTTCATAAGAGAACCAGAATCAACCTAGGATAACGAATATGAACCAAATCCCTGTAACCACGGAAAGGAATGTGCTAAACAACTACATAACCAAGTAACTTAACTGGCCTTAAGAATAAACAAATGCTAACCAAATCAAAAAAATAAGTTGGATTCCAAGACGACGTGAAGTTTAAACAGAGACACAGAGTAATCTAATAAACGTTAGGGTACCTTGGCCTTATCATGCTTTGAACGAGTTACTCCAACCAATATGCTTATGCATATCCCACTGGTATCTCAAACAAGGCTAAAGGAATTTCAACGAAAAGTGGGTGGAGATGCCTTAACAGTAACCATCAAACCCAACAAAATTGAAGAGTCTAAAAACGAAAAGAAAGAAATAAATCGAGTATATATGTAATAGACAAAGACTATTAGGTATATATATACTCAATAAACAGGAGTACATGGTACAAAATATAATAAACAGAACTTGCGGGTGCATACGAAAACTGGATACTGATAAAATTTAAAAAAAAAAAAAAAAAAAAAAAAAAAACAGAGCATATATGATTTACATCAGTGATGGGGACTTGGGAGATCTGGAAAAGCTCTAGGATCATCATCGCGGAAATTAAAACCATCGTCGAAGTTCTGAGAATAACTCACAGCGTCGTAGTGAAACGTCACTAACGTTTTGGATGTATGGTTCTCTAACCCGCAACTTCGAGCCAATAGTAATCTTCTCATCAAATCCCTTAACTTGGGACTTGATCTCGTCTGCTTCCTGTTGTTGTGGTTACTGAGTCGAGTGTACTCTGTATCGGTGTGGATGAGACAAGATAACGGCGAACTCAAACATCGATTGGTGGCGTACGATGGTTTGCGGTTGTCGGCTAGATCTCTATCCATTTTTTCTGGAACACAAAATACAAGAAAAGAACAAGAGATTTTTTTTTTTTATTGAATGAAATGAATTTAAGAGTCAAGAGCTAGCTGAGACAATAAATGAATTTACAAAGAGAGAAAAAAAGAGTTGAATAAAATGTACATTTGGATGGTTATGCTTTGGCGGTCCAATCATAATTTCTAGTTTTTTTTCTTGGCAACTCAACAATTTCTGGTTCATGGGGAAGCTTTCATTTATTGAAAAATTGGATGTGTTCGTTAGTCAACATTTGTTGTTGTTGTAATATCTACTTTGTTTGGTAATAACAACATGGTTACACAATGTGAAATTATTCATTTTTATATCTCCGAGTCGTGAAATTTATTGATCCTTTAGGAGGAACGTGATTATGTAGTATGGTTTCATGGCGCCTAAGGATTTTGTTTTCTTGTAAGTTACAAAGTTACAATCTACTGTATAGAGGGTTGGTCGTATTTGGGGAACAACACACACACATGAAAACTACATCTATCTTGAACGTGTCGTGTTCGTTTTTGGGTCGCCCTAGTGAGGCCATTCCTTCCAAAAGAAGCCATTATGTATTCGTGACTCGTTAACTTGTGAGGCCATTCCTTCCAAAAGAAGCCAAAAGAGGAAGAGAAAAAAACAGAAGATGAAAAACCAAGAAAAAAGGAAACAAAAAACGCTAGAAGGAGGGTTCGAACCTCCGACCTTGTGGTTAACAGCCACACGCTCTAACCAACTGAGCTATTCCAGCTTTTGCTACTACCACAATAAACAAATTAATATAAAGAGTTTCAGGTTATTTTTAATATCAGTTTGACTTGACAGTCACATCAATAGCATCGACTTTGGTTGGAACCTCACATAATCGCATGTTGTCACACTCGACACCCATAGAAAAAAATAATATCATCAATAAAGAAAAAAAATGAAGAGAATAAGAATAATGGCAACGCTTGTAATAGCAAACATGTTAATGGCGACTCCAACGTCTCGAGCCTCTCTCAATCTCCTTCGTCGTGCACCTCATCCTAAACCAAACGCTAACAAATACTACTACTCCTCCTCTTTCTCATCTTCTTCTCATTCTCGTCCCTCTACTCTTCGTAAATCATATTCCTGCCCCATCTGGTCTTCTTCTTTCTCTTTCTGTCTCCCTCCTCCTAGATCCACCACTTCTACCTCTCTCTCCTTCCACCCCTTCTCCTCCTCCTCTCCTCCTTCCATGTCTTCCGCCGCCGCCGCCGCCGTCGATTCCGCCCAGACTCTTTCCTCCAATCCTCTCTTGCAGGATTTCGATTTCCCTCCCTTTGATTCTGTTGATGCCAGCCATGTCCGTCCTGGGATTCGCTCTCTATTGCAGCACCTCGTAATGTTCCCGTTCTTCGTTTCCGATTTGACAGATTCATGTATTCATCTTAATTCGATTTTGTTCATGGGTTATTTTTTGTTTTGAAGGAAGTTGAATTGGAGCAGCTAGAGAAATCTGTGGAGCCATCATGGCCAAAACTGGTTGAACCATTAGAGAAAATTGTTGATCGCTTAACTGTTGTTTGGGGAATGATCAATCACCTTAAAGCTGTCAAGGACACACCTGAGCTTCGTGCTGCTATCGAAGACGTTCAGGTTTTTATACATTAATTGTGTTCTCATTCTTGTTTCAGTGTGTGTTCGTTTGGTGAATTTGAATTCATATCTTGTTCCTACTCTTCTTCTGCAGCCAGAGAAGGTGAAGTTCCAGCTCAGGTTGGGCCAAAGCAAGCCTATTTACAATGCCTTTAAAGCTATTCGTGAATCTCCTGATTGGTCATCACTTAGTGAAGCTCGTCAACGTTTAGTTGAAGGCAAGTTGTTCTAATTTGGGGTATTGGAAGAACATATCGTTCATTCTCTTGGCAAGTTATAGATGTGCTAACTGTTGTTTCAGCTTGATTTCAGCCCAAATTAAGGAGGCGGTTCTCATAGGTATTGCTCTTGATGATGACAAAAGAGAAGAATTTAACAAGATTGAACAGGTTTGTTTTTAAGCTTTTGACAGTTTTCTGCTTTCCCAAGAACTCTCTTTTTTCCAATATTAATGATATATGCTCACTTAATTTTTGTTCTTCATTGTAGGAACTCGAAAAGCTTTCTCATAAGTTTTCTGAAAATGTTTTGGATGCTACAAAGAAGTTTGAAAAGTTGATAACGGACAAGAAAGAGATTGATGGATTGCCTCCTTCCGCTCTTGGGCTATTCGCACAGGCTGCTGTGTCCAAGGTATTAGTACTAACTGAAAAATATGCAACGCTCCATGTATCTTTTCTTCTGGAGTTTGTCAATTTTTGTTTCTTGATATGTTACTTAAGGGCCATGAACATGCAACTGCTGAAACTGGACCATGGATCATTACACTGGATGCTCCTAGTTATCTTCCTGTTATGCAACATGCCAAAAACCGAGCTCTGCGTGAGGAGCTCTACCGTGCTTACCTAACTCGTGCCTCTTCTGGTGATTTGGATAATACAGCAATTATTGACCAGATTTTGAAGCTTCGCTTGGAAAAAGCTAAGCTTCTTGGTTACAACAATTACGCTGAGGTATAGTCATCAACCTAAGTAAAGTTTTTCCTTTTCTCTTTCTAATTGGCTTAATAGGGTTCTCTGTTGGTCCAGGTAAGCATGGCTATGAAAATGGCTACTGTTGACAAAGCAGCAGAGCTTTTAGAGAAGCTTCGTAGCGCGTCCTGGGATGCAGCTGTTAAAGGTAAAATACATGATATATTCAAATCAATTGTTAGTTGTTAAACAAGTTGGCTACTGTTGTAACTTTTTAACTGTCTGAAATATCACGAGACACCGTAGCTCTGGAATTGCCTATCCAATACTGAAATTTGACCTTTTTTATCCGTTCTATGAATTAGACATGGAAGACCTCAAAAGTTTTGCAAAGAATCAAGGTGCTGCAGAATCTGACAGTTTGACTCATTGGGACACCACTTTCTGGAGTGAGAGGCTTCGTGAATCCAAATACGATATTAATGAGGTTTTTTGTCCGTCTTTAGCTTGTAATTCAAATATATTATTTTGAAAAATCGTGATCTTTATCTCCCGTTTTGGTCTCTTTAGGAAGAACTACGTCCATACTTCTCACTGCCAAAGGTTATGGATGGACTTTTCAGTCTAGCTAATACACTATTTGGAATCGATATTGAACCAGCAGATGGTGTAGCTCCGGTAAAATGTGGAATCTTATTTGTTGCCTTAACATATACATCTATCATCTGATATAATAGTTAAAGTCTGTTAACTAAAATGTATTATTGATTTGAAGGTTTGGAACAGCGATGTTCGATTCTACCGCGTTAAAGATTCTTCTGGGAACCCAATCGCTTACTTTTACTTTGATCCATACTCCCGCCCTTCAGAGAAGAGAGGTGGCGCTTGGATGGATGAGGTTGTTTCCCGTAGCCGAGTCATGGCTCAGAAAGGCTCTTCTGTTAGGCTGCCTGTTGCGCACATGGTCTGCAACCAAACTCCACCAGTAGGTGACAAACCAAGCCTTATGACATTCCGCGAGGTAAATGAAAAAAACATCCTTTACACATGTTTATATCTTAGCTCGACATGAAATCTTGAAAATTCTTACTTGCTGACTATAACATCACCCTTAATTACAGGTAGAGACAGTATTCCATGAATTTGGACATGCTCTCCAGCATATGCTTACCAAGGAAGATGAGGGGCTAGTGGCTGGTATCAGAAATATCGAGTGGGACGCGGTTGAATTACCATCACAATTTATGGAGAATTGGTGCTACCACAGGTACTAAAGAGTTCATTCATCATCAAACAGAAATTTTACCTGCTTTGTAACAAGAGCGCTAAGAATCTGAATCGCTGGTTTCAGGGACACTTTAATGAGTATTGCCAAGCATTATCAAACAGGAGAAACACTCCCAGAGGAAGTATACAAGAAACTCCTTGCTGCACGAACATTCCGTGCAGGGTCCTTTAGTCTTCGGCAGGTGAGTACAAGTATTACACAACAATCTGCTTAAGTTTTATATATTCAGTAGGTTGTAGTGACTAGTAATGATGGTTCCATGTTTGAATTTCAGTTGAAATTTGCAACTGTTGATCTTGAGCTGCACACAAGATATGTACCAGGTGGACCCGAGTCCATCTATGACGTAGATCAACGGGTATCAGTTAAAACTCAAGTGATCCCTCCACTTCCGGAGGATAGATTCCTCTGTAGCTTCAGTCACATTTTTGCAGGTAACAATCCTTTAAAACCCTCATATATGTACAGTTGATGGTTTATTGATTATCATTTACATGTTCAATGGATTTCCAGGGGGATATGCAGCTGGATATTACAGTTACAAGGTAAATTTGAATCTATATATTGCAAACTCTTAACTGGCCTTCATATTTCTCACCCAAATTTCTCGGAAAACTTGCAGTGGGCAGAAGTTTTGTCTGCAGATGCATTTTCAGCTTTTGAAGACGCTGGACTGGACGACATTAAGGTAATTTATATATGCTTTGATCCTTTAATACATTTTTCCATGACAAGTACAGAGACGAGATTCTGAAATTATAATCTGCAAACAGGCTGTTAAAGAGACAGGACAGAGATTCAGAAACACCATACTTGCACTTGGAGGAGGAAAAGCGCCTCTCAAGGTATTTTTATAATTTAGTTTGCTTTCATCTAACATAGTTTAGATATCCATGGCATTTCAGTCTTAATTGTTTCAAAAATATGATCAGGTGTTTGTTGAGTTTAGAGGACGCGAGCCTTCACCAGAGCCTCTTCTCAGACACAATGGACTCTTGGCTGCTACTGCTTGAATCTTGTATTTTAACAATATTTAGTACTCTCAAGATAAACAATGAAAAATCAACGAATAAGATCTTTTCTGATATTTCAACCATTTACATCTCTCAGCTACTACATAGCATAGATTTCTTTCTTCTCTTCCACAACCAAACTCTTTAACACTAACAGCAACAAGAAAAATATAAATGTCATAAAACCCAAAAAGACTCTCACCCACTGTTCAGCATTTCACAATTACACTAAACAACTCCTAAATCTAACAGGTAATTAAATAACGAACTCTTCTTGCTTAAACTAGCGTCCTCTCTATCTATCCATTACATTTTTTCTCTAACTAAAACTGCTTCCTAAGGTTTGTATCCAAAGAAACAACAAATCCATTCCTATCCTTCCCTCCTCCCTTTACACCCCCACAGCTAAACGTTCCCTAGTACTTCAGGACATAAATAATGGCTAAATCCCAAATGATTCTATCATTGAGCTTCTTTTGCTTCCACAAATGGCGATTGAACGCTATCTGCATCAGAATCACTACCTGATGAACTCCCTCCTGACCCTGAATCTGCAAATAAGCGTCAAACCACAACAATATTAGAAATAACACACTAAAAGGGGAAACTTTTAGCAAGGGGAGTTTTTCGGAAAAGGGTTAAAAGAGATATACCACTAGACGAGGACCCACTACTAGAACTGGAACTGCCTGAAGAACTAGAGCCACTACTAGCAGCTGCTGCTACTGCAGTACCATCTCTTTCGATCTCTACTGATGGGTAATCTTCTATTGGTATGTCTTCTCCAATGTCTACATCCTCTTCCCCTCCATCTCCTTTTCTCGTTCTTTTCTCCGCACTACCTATTTCTGCCAACGAGGTCTGAGAGACACAGACACAGAGGACGAGACAGCATTTTAAGTAATGACACAACAAAAATCAAACGGTTGTTTTGATAGGGAGGAAGGGCGGATTCGCTTACCATGTTTCTAGGTGGAGTTGTGACGTTCCTGATAAACCCTTGGCGCTTGATTTTGCTAGCCATCTTCTTGTAATTCGTCACAAACCGATCAAGCTCCCATAGAGTCTCATTATCGACAGCTTCTATATCGAGCTCAATTTCGTCTCCATCTTGAGCTAAATGTCCGTTTCTCTTCTTGAGAATCTGAACCAACTGTCCAAGCTTCTCAGGAGGTAAGTCTTGTAGATTCATACCAAGCTTAGACTTCTCCTCCATTGTCATCAATCTTTTGTTTGGATCCTTGGCCTTAGGCTTAGGCAACTTCCCTTTCCTCCCCTTTGTCACTTCACTCAAATCAGGAGGTACTTCTACTTCAGTAACGGGCTGCGGAAGTGGTGACTGAGGCCGAGGTTGAACCACCGGAGGAGGCGGGGGAGGAGGAGAAGGAGATTGCACACGTGTAGGCTCGACTAATTGAGGAGGCAATGTAGGTTGAGGCGGCTTCACTGAATCAAGCTTCTTAGCTATAGATATTTGTTCAGTCCCTTTCCTCGGATTCGCCACCATGGGGTCCTGATTCCACTGTCTTTGCTTGAACTCAGGTTTAAACTCGGCTTTGAACTCAGGTTCAGGACGAGAAGATGAACCAGTGAGTTTTCGCTGCTGAGCCTCGAATTTCTTGAATGCGGGGTTGAACATTCCATCAAAATGATCAAGAAGCTTCTCAGCCATAAAGAACACATCTTGTCCCTTTGGGTTATACGCCATTGCATTGTTGAATGTCAATCTAACATCGGTAGCAAAATCAAGCGGCGAAACGTAGAACCCCTTGTCAAGATTCAACTTAACGGTACCCAGATCCATAGGTTTCTTCACGATCACATGATAATCATGAAGCCCTAAGCCAACCACATCAACAGGGGTATTGAACACCCACGCCCACTTATGCTTCATCAGCTTCACCAAGATCTGGCCACAAGTATTCAACATACCAGCCAACAATTTCTCCGACTCCGGATCCAAAGCCAATTGATTGCATCGCTTCAGAGCTGACAAATTTTTCTTCTGCTTCTTCTTTTTCGGTCCAAGTTCATTCGTTTGACCGGCGAAGCTATTCAAGGGAGCTGATCGAACGGCGGGTACCTCTGGTAAAGTATAAGATTGCTGAGTATCGAACGTCCCTGACTCGATCCGTTCTCTCAAGATCCGAACCTGCTCGAGCTCAGAGGTGAAACGCTTCTTCAACTCCCTGAGCTGATTGGAGGTGTACCCAGCGACATTAAAAGTAGCGTAGCTTCCAAAACTTGACGAATCATCGAACTGCTTGCTGGAATTGCTCTTGTCGAAATTAGGGTTAGGGTTGAGGAGAGGAGGAAGGTGATTGGTGTTTTCGGGGAGGGATTGGTTTGTAAATTTCCTCATAAAAACGGCGCCGCATTGTTCCAGGTACGAGGGTTCGTTTAAGGTAGCCAAAACAGCCGGTGCCATACGAATCGCAAGGTCATGTCGTGTTTTCTTCCACTCTTTTCGAGAGCTTGTTCTTTAGAATAACCAAAAAAAACAAAAAAAAAAAACAATTTTCACCTCCAAAAAAGAGCGGCAAAATTACATCACCGGCGAAAATTCCGCCGATCGGGAAAATAAATAAAAATTTGAAAGCTTGCAAGGATAGAAAACAAAAAAAAAGAAGAAGATGAAAAGAGGGGTTTTGGGGGATGGCCGATGATGAGGAAGAAGAAGGGAGGCATCATCTACTTAAAGGCCATAGGAATCTGACCGAGTTTAAATCCAGCCGTCGAGTTTGGATCTTACGGTTGAGATCTGTTCGGTGAAGCTGACCGATCTAGGTGCCCGAGAAATCTGGCACGGATGGCTCAGATCGTTGTAATTAACCACGTGGCGTTGTTTAAGCCGTTTGTTCGTGAGGCGTCGTGTGTGTGTGTTTTCTTTTTGGGTATTTTGATTTTTTGAACTTTACGAAAAATTGATGGGTCCTTTTTTAAAATGATATTTCCCAATTTTATGTTGTGAGAGGGAGAGAGAGAGAGAGAGAGAGAGGGGTAAAATTATCATTACCTTGTCTAAGTAGGTCCCACACTGACTTTTCATTATTATAATATGATTTTTTTAAAAAACTTAGAAGGCTCTCTCTCTCTGTGATTGGTCGCTTTTTCGTTTGCCAGGTCAGCGGTTGCCACGTGGAGACAACTAGGATCCCGTTTTTATGTGAATGAATGCTTTGTAACTTTTGCGGCCTTTCTTTTCCTTTCGGATTAGTTACTATAATTACCCTTTAAAAGTGGATTATATTTCAAGCTGATTAGGGAGTGAAAGATTAACATAATTAATTACTGACTGATGATGAAAGGAATGTCAAAATTCACTGACTTTTTTACAAATACAAAATTCCAAATATGAAATAATTTGAAGACAGTTAAAAAAATTCTCGAGCTTGTGGAAACTTTTTAATCGGTTCACCGACCAAAGACGGCGAAGGGAACTTAGGGCAACCAACACTTTTGTCAAAATGACCAAAGTACCATCTCTTTGTTTGTTGTTTATGGGCTTTTTTTTCTTTTCAGATCTCTCTCTCTCTCTGGGTTAGAGAACTCCTAAACAATTTACTGCTTTTCTCACAGTATATTTTTTCATAAAAAAAAGAAAGGAAATGGATGATATTACCAGAAAAAGAAAGGTGTGTGGAGCAAAACTACAACTACTAACTTACCCAGAGAATGAATATATTGACTTTTCATGACCTCATCACAACATTTTATACCTTTGTTGACGTCATCACAATCAATCCCACCACACACGACGCGCAGAGACTAAATTTTTCCCCTAACAAATGTAAGCCATGTTTGTTTTCTCAGAACACACAAAAGAGAAGATGATGAGAGGAGAGGGAGAGAGACGACAACTCAAGGCAAAAGAGTAAAACACAATTATTCAATCTCTCTCAATGAGTGTAATTGTCCTGCAGTTTGCAATATATATATTATCTTCAAAACCCAAATCCGGTCAGATCTGGACCGTTGGATTTAAAACAAAAAAGAAGCCCATACGATTATATAACTCGTGGGCCAAAATGATTATAACCAAACGTATCAGTGTAATTGATTGAAATATAAAAGCATATATCCATCCATCCATCCGTTCGTAATAAAGAAATGGAAGCTCCGAATAGTTTTGAAGGGTAGCGTCTAAGCGCAACAACCAAAGTAGGGACCAGACAGCTATGGTAAGGCTAAGCAAACCCACTTTATGCGATATTTTTTTCCAAACCACACCAACCACTATGCACCTTATCATATAGTAAGAGCTACAACACTTTAAACGTTACCAAACAAAATATTCGTAGCAAATCCATACAACTTTCACTCGTTTCAACGATTTTTCCTTGCAAGACAACAAACTCTACTCTGTAAATTTCTAGTTTTCTTCTTGGTTATCTCTTGTAAGTTGTGTAACTTTTAGAAAGCATAGACAGTCTCTTCTTGAAAACTTCCCTGAGTTTTTCATGGAAATTTGTCAAGAATTATAGCATCAGAGTTCGAAATTCAAGCCAATATTGGATGATCACTTTTCTTGAATCATGGACCGCTTGGTCTGCTGGTCTTGTCACCTTACCATTACATGATAGCTGGACTGGACTTCTCAATTTATAAACGGCTGAGTCTGACCACACAATGGGCTTTATTCTAGCCCAATAGGTTTCTTTGAGGCTCTCACAGGCCCCCTCGAGAGTAGGGAAACAGATTAGTTCTCTCGAGACTCTATCTCTCTAGGCTCAAGTGTGACTTTTTTTTTTATGATAATAATTAACCTACACGAGCAAAATGATAACACTAATCATTATATAGGATGCTATCTAACAAAATTTGACTTAGGCAATAGTAAGATTTTTCAGAAAAAAGATTTGCAAGCTGGCATTAGAGGAGATGTGAACAAATTGGAAGACACGAATATTAAATATTAAACTTTGATTTTTCCTGGGTAAAATGAATAGTTTTGAACATGTGAACATATATGAGATGAGATGTGACTTTGATTATTGATTCGTACAAATCTGTGGTGTAAAAAAAACAGAAACAAAGATTAAAAATAACCCAGAAGTAGACATAATTAACTGAATCTGGCTCGTGTTCTCATAAAGCTCTCTTCTTATGTTGTAATTATTGAATGGTCCTACTTTTCTTTTCTTTTTTTTCGTTTCTATTCGTTTCGTTTGTTTTTATTTCAAAAGTCGTTCAATTTGTTTCCAAGGAAATGTATAATATAAAATCGTGTCCAATTTGATATTTTTTGATATGTCTCATAAAATAACAGAAAAGAATTCGCAACTTTTGACTAATTTGATATTTCCAATAGTGTATTAGTGGATTCGATGGCCCTGTGCTCCACCTCCCGATATATCAAGGCGTTCTTCGATCATTTTGAAAAGTTTCAAATGATGTTTCTATCCCAATTATCCAAGCGAGATTGTTATCTAGTGGCTCTTGAATAGTTAAAATATCTGTTTATTTTATTGTTTTTTTTTTTTTTACCCAAACCTATACTTTTATCTAATGCAATTAAAACTGGTTACAATTGTTTGTTTAAAGGCTGGTAAAGAAGAAGGTTTCGATTAATGAAAGTTAAATTCGAGTCGTAACAAATGTAATTTGATTTGTCTTGGATGCTATCATAGTATCATACTCTCTGAAAAAGCAATTTATAGGGACTAGATTTATTAGACTAACATGAACTGTGTATATAAGCAGTACGTAAGATAGCTTTGTTTTTGTTGTAACCACGGATTACAACAGTTTTTGCTTTACGTGTATATAACTCATAACATATTTTAACAAACTTGAGTGTCCCTCCCAAGTTAAATCTTTGTTGGTTAAGCTAACCACGTTGGATCTCAAATAACGCTCAACATATATAGCAAGATAAACAACCATCAAGGAGATACTTAGACACTAAACAAAATAACACCGTTGTGTATTATATACTTTAGGTAACGTAGCGTATAGTTTACTAGTTTAGATAAAGATTTGGCAGTCCGAACAACATTCAAGCTAGTGTTCTAGATGGTCTAGACGCGCGGTGTGCAAGTGATCTTGGTGGTCTATATATGTACGGTCATAACGCATTTTTTTCTGCAACTACAAGTAACAATTTTGGTTGATACATTAAAAATAAACAATTGTGTCACTTGATCGAAATCCAAAAACCCGCTTACTAGACATTATACCTTACTTAAATTATAGTACATTATAATTTGGAGTTTGATCCCGCATGCATCTAAGTCATCCAAACATTATTTCTAATTTGATTAAATCACCATATATGTGACGTATTGTTTTCCAAATAATAAAGTTTGATATTATGCCTCCTAAATTCAGAATATACGGGAATGATCTTTTGCCCTTCGTTTCACGCAAAGTGCAAAATGTATAACTATATAAAACTCCCGAAATATAATTCAGTTCGCACAAATAATATCATGACATCAGTAGAGACGAGACGACACGAGATAACCGGGGGACCCGAGATCGTGTTGTATGTGTGTGTGTGTGAGAGAGAGAGAGAGAGAGAGAGAGAGAGAGAGTCTATGCTAAAATCTAAAGTTATGATGCAACACTATGTTTTTGTTTTGGACAAGATATGATGTTTTTATATAAATAATATTCAATTTGTTATGTATGGATGGACCAATCAAAAGTCGTGGATAAAAGGCCATAACACCTATTAGCATGATTGGAAAAGTTATGTTGGATGAATATAAAATGTTATGAGTGTGACATGCCGACTATGCGTGAGCTCTTACTTTAACGTACACTTACTTATATATGGAAGGGAGAATATGACGTTGCCATTTAAACTTCTTACTCATACTACGCATTCTCGTTACCATATAACTCATACTCAACATTATTGGTTTTAGTTTTTTGTTTTTGTATGAACGGTTATAATATTAGTGATTGTATATTAAACTCCAGGTTCTGGTAAGCAGCTGGGTGGACAAAATTCCAACGATGCTCCTATACACTCCCGTTCCATCTCCTCTCAATCATGTTTCTTGAAACCTATCCTATACGACAATGCGATCTCTCCCTTTTTGAGATCATGCCCTGTTTATAAATCCTAGCTTCACACATCAGAATTTACAAGAAAAGTGAAAACAATCTACATGACATTATAACATGACAACATGTCTTTCTTTCTCCGAATCCTTTCTTTCGCACTGTTTTCTAAAATGTATTACCGGTTTTAATTATGGCCATAGTTTACGATAACAGAATAATCTTGGTATAATACCAAACTATTAATCTTGAATTCTATAGAAACCCGGTTTTATATACCTTTAATATATACCATTTGATATAAGACAACGTAACATGGAAACCCGACACGATATATGGTATGGATGATACTTGATTTTTTGATTTTTTTTTTTTGACATGATAAGTCTTCATCAGTTTGTATCACCATGATTTAATATTGTATCCAGGCCGTAGCTCACAATACTAGTAAACATATTATTTTTTAGTATAATCTTTTGACGTACAATAGTAGTAACAATAATATAAACTAGATAGTCAATGTAAACTAGTAATTTTATTAGCATATAGACCTAAATTTGATTGTTTTTAAATGTGCTCTTAATCTCTACGGAAGTAAGTTAAAAAATAATCCCAGCTCATTTACACGTAGATGCAAAAATGGTGAATATGATGT